ATTTATGCATAATAAATGTCCATTTAGTTTCACCAATTTTCTGCATGTCTCTCATTTACTGTAATTACATGTATTATATCGGTCGACCACTATCTCTGAAGTCTCAATCTCTTCCTCTGGGTTGCTCTTGTAGGTCTGGTATGATGTTCACACTTTCCAGAAGCATGATGGGGAGCAGAGCCTCTACATTCCTGTCACCATGAGCTCCGTAAGCCCGGACGTTTTCACTTTCTGACTTTCCATTGGTTTTTAAAGACTGACTGCAAAACTAGGGGCCAGAACAGACTGTGTTTTTGTTTTTGCATTCCAAAGTTTTCCTATGCACTTATTTCAGCTATATTTTGTTTTAGTCTTTTATCAGACAGCTAAATCCTTCCTTTCTGTCCGTCGCGTCTCGTGTTCCAGATCCCAGTTTTCCAGCGAGGAGGGTCCATTATCTGCAGGAAAGACCGAGTTAGGAGATCTTCGTCCTGTATGGAGAATGACCCATACACTCTCTATGCTGCTCTCAATTCTCAGGTAAATCCGTATCCTGTTATGTATATATATATTCAATTCAGATTTATTTGTATAGCACTTTTCACAGTACACATTGTTTCAAAGCAGCTTTACAGAAAATGCATGTGTCTACATATATGCATGTATTCATATTTGACATGCTTGACATTGTAGATGGATTGTTTTCATCTGTGTATAGTAAGTGCTTCACGCTGACTGCTGTCTTGTGCTTCAGGGCTCTGCTGAAGGAGAGCTGTACATCGATGACTTCCATACCTTCAACTTTGAAAAAGCAAAGCAGTTTGTCCACAGACATCTGTCTTTCTCCGCCAACACGCTGTCTTCCAGGTCGGTCTGCTCTCTTTTTCTTTACAGCTGTTAAAAACGGCATTGCCATGCTGTTTCTTATCTTTTGGTCTCTCATCTCTCTGTTCTTCATTTTTCTTTCCTCAGAAATCTGGCCCCAGACTCCCAGTTTTCCACTGCGTCTTGGATAGAGAAGATTGTGATCATCGGAGGCAGTCAACCGTCCTCTGCTACTCTGAAAAATGCAGGTCAGAGTCACTGATATATTACAGTGCTTTACTGCTAATATGGTTGGCTTTCTTATGATAAATTGCTGGTGTTTTTCCTGAAGTGTCTATGGGTCAAAGCATCTGCTAATGTCACGCAATCTGCTTTGGCATTCTCACAGGCTTCTATCATGCATCTAACAACTACTCAAATAACAGGCTTGTTTAAAAATGCTGTCCATTTGTTTTTAATGTCCAAGGCCTATGTGACCAAAAAAATATGAGATGGCGAAATCATCAACCAATGTATTTAAATGCATACATCATTTGATAAAACTTTACTACAGCACACTTGAACAAAAGATGTCGCAAAAATATGGCGCAGGGCTAGTTCACCTAAAAATGAACATTCTGTCATCATTTAGTCACCCTTAAGTCGTTCCAAACCCGTATGAATTTCTTTCTTCTGCTGAAAACAAAAGATATTTAAAAAAAATGTTGGTGACCGAATGGTAGCCATTGACGTAGTATTTGTTTTTCCATACTATGGAAGTTACTGGCTTCCTCCAACTGTTTGTTTCCAAACCTTGAGGGTGAGTAAATGATGACAGAATTGTCATTTTTAGGTGAACTGTCCCTTTAAATATGGGTTCGTGTACAGCAATGATAATAGTTTGTGCTGTCAACAATGCATTTAGTGCAGTTATTTATTGGCACCTGACAGCATTTAGAAACCAAACATTTATACAATTGTACTTAAATAGACATATGTTGTTGTTGGGTTTATGCAGCTCATGGTAATAAAAATACATTTCCATTTGTTTGTTTTTTTCTTCCACTTTTTTTACAGTAAACATTTTTGGTACTGTGTTGGGTCGCCATTGTTGTCCGAAGTAAATTTGGGTCCTGAAGTAAGACCCGTTGAGAACCACTGATTTTGCACAACATACAGAGTTAATTTTTTGTCTTTTTTTTTTTTCAGATGATACAGAGTCGGCTTTAGAGTTTGAGTTTGACTCTACACTTGCAGTTTTGACTCTACGTAAGCCAGGGGTCAACGCAGCGGCAGACTGGACCGTAATCTTGCGGTAACACAAGTACGACATGCAAACAACAGAGAAAAGAACGGCACTTAATGTCACATGACCACACACACAAACGTTACAAAATGAGAGACCAAACAGAGAATGGGAACATGCACAGAAAAATCAAATGTTTTTTAAGATGATATGTGTTGAGACAAATATGAAAGAGATTTTGGGAAGCCATCAGTGAAGTACAGGACCAGGATATTAAGAGAGGTGTTTGAAGACATACTGACTTAAACTCTATTGTGTGATTTCACATGACAGGCTGCAACGTCTCGTTTAGACAGGCATTTGTCATTTAAATTAGCAATTTAATAATTGGTTGAAAGTTAAAACAAAGAAATAACATACAGGATGTTAATTTATAGATTGTACAAATTAGATTTTTTTTTTCTCAGGTCATGAAGTGTTTTGGCATTACAAATAAATTTTAACATCCAGAAATACAAAACTGATTGCACTGAGATTTTGTTTTCTTTCTTTTTTTTATTTTATTCCATTTTTCACTGGGCAAGTTTTAAATTGGTGCATATGGGAAAATAATAGTTTGTATAAAATTATTAATCAAATCTAAAGAAATAAGTAATATTTCATTACATATTAATAAATATACTTTAGGACCATTGTTTTTGGCAGAATTTACAACCAAATTCCCATTTGTATAGGAAGTGTGATTTGTTTTTTTGTTTTTTTGTGAGACTCGATTACTTTATAAGGAGTCATTTCCAAAAACTAAATGACCAATGAAAAATAAATTACCAACTTTTTAATTGGTAATGTTTCAAAATGTATTAATAGATATGTGTTATACCTTTGTTTACTAGAGCACAGAAGCCATCAATGATGTATTTAGTAGTACGGTTTTCTTTGTAAAGTTGTAAGGCCTCTAAGTGACTTTGAGGCTTATTTGAAAGAGACTGATGGATTTGAGCAGCACGAAAACCCTAAGACAAGCAAACAACTCAAAAAAAAAAAAAAGGAAAAAAACTCTTTTGTCCAACACTGAGCAGGCTTGTGGGTTGATTTTGAAGGATTCAGGCGGGTGTGAATTTATGAAAAACTGTAAGAAAATGAAGGGCACAAAATAGGATTGCAAAGTCGAAAAGTGTTGTTGTAATAAACGTCTCTGGCTTAGGAAGCAAAGACTGGATGAAAATAAAGTGGCTCAACTGATGTTTGGTGAGTGTTTTATTTCAGTTGATGACATTCTTCTTGTATGTGCAAACATCAGGAAAACACCTCATATGTTCAAAAGATAATAACTGTTCAACAACAGCATTTTTACAGATTTCCCGATTTTAAAAGCTAGTGTTAACAAGGCAATATCTTCCCATAAAAATATGGTGTGTGTATATATGATAATCAGACGATATTTGGCCTTTATGAGCTATAATATCACCTTAACTCCATTTTTCCATTTCAGAAATCCACCATTTTTGATCTAATGCCTATTGACATTATTTTTACTACATTAGATATCAGCATTGGTTGTTGAAAAACTATTTTTATTGTTTACTTATATATATATAAAAAAAAATAAAAAAAAATAAATATATATATATATATTGTTTGCCACTAACAAAAAGGATATCATGACAAAAATGTATGAAAAATGTATTTTGTTGGTGAACAAATCATTTGTTTGTGGATGAACATACTGAACAAATATGACCACAAATATGCTAACCAGCATATAACATACACTAACCATATACACAACAAATCTGTTGTTTCAAATTTGCCTTTTGGCCTCTGTTTAATGACATCCTTACCATCCCTATATCCACTCGAGTTGACATCAGCAAAATTTTGCATGCAAAATAAGGCGCATTGTCAATAATGTAGCGATGCATGAAGCACAACTCAGAAAAATGAAGTAATTTTCAAACTAACCATCTTTCTGTTGGTTAACCTGACGAATTTGCATGACCAACTTGAATGAGAAAAATCTATGTGTAGAACCTTTCGTCCTCAATAAAACGCCAGATCGTGTGGATTCCTATTGAAATAACAGGATTCTGCAAAATTTCACTGAGCAATAGTAAAAGTGCTATATAAATGTAACTAATAATAATAAGACGACACTGACTGGTCGCTAACTTTTAGTGTAATGCTGTAACCTACAGAAATAGTCACTGAACGAATCTCTGAACAAAATGTTTTGATGAACAGAATCAAACTATTCAAACTATATATAAAAAGTCACTGGGGTAAATCAAAATCAGCGCCACTAATATGATGACAACAGCTTATGTATAGGTACTAATAGAGGCGTGAATCACCCTGATTCCCTCGACAAAAAACCCAATAGGATTTTTCCATTGGCTTTTAGATAACTGCAGAGAATAAGCTCTGTGACCAACAAAAGTTTGAGTCTTACACGTTTTGATGGCTGTCAAAAATGAACTTTTGAAGCCTAAGTATAAAAGCGTAGGCTATAAACTACACCACAGTCGCATGACTGACATCAGCATCACTAAGCTTCTAACAACTCGTTCAGTCTTTATTTAAAACACATTTTTCTTAAAAGTTTGAGTTCTTGAATAGTTTGCACGTGTGTGATTATAAACACAACGAGGCTGTGAAATTTACCAATGAGTAGATGAGTTTATATATTTGGTGTGATGTTTAATGTCCTGACAAACTCTGTAGTCCCATGCTAGTAAACTGCCTTTTTCAAGACAAGTTAAAGCTTTTAAACAAATCACAGGGTGTTTTACTGATGTGTTCTACATTACAGAATAAAACATGAAAATATCACACACCGTATTTCAGGCATTTAACCAAAACCCCAATCAAAAAACCCACTGACTTCAGAACAATGGAACCGATAAAAATGCAAACTTGCAAACTCGTTTCTGGGTTTTGGCCTACAAAAATCCATCATCCCCGCAGCACTCCCTCAGTTCTGAGAGGAATCGGTCATGGCTCTCAGCAGCATCTCAAAGCTGAGGAAGGTCACGGCGTTTACAGGGAACGCTCTCACGGTGTTCAGAAGAAGGCCTTTGAAGAAGACCCGCATGCCCTCCTCACGCACACTCACAGTAATGCAGTTCAACACACCGCTGTACATGCGACCGCCGCCGCCACACATCTGCAGTCGAGCCTTCACTACATCCATGGGGGTGGCGCAGGCCCATGTGACCACACCAGCAACACCACCAGCCACCAGCACAGCACAGTTACCTGAAGGCCACATCATCATATTATTACTCAGTTTAACACTATGAAAATGTATACAGTGACTAAGTTTCCATGTGCACTAATAATGCGATCATTTTCAATAATCAGAATAAGGACCAAATTGCAGTAAGATGTTTATATGACACAATCTTCCCTCCACTTTACATGCAATTTTCATTATTATGATTATTTGCTAAGAAGTGTGGTTCCTTTTGGAAATGGACTCTCACATTGCGTGAACATGCTTTGGGGAAACTCCGTTTACTCTGAATACTGAAGCCTGATTTGTTGATGTTCGTGTAGCTGGACAAACAAATGGTATTTCAGCCCGCCAAAAAGGGTGGGTCCGACTGCCTATATAAGTCTGCGCTGAGTGCCATTTCATCAGAATCTTTCTCCTTTAGCGCAAAGATCATCTCCTCGCTGGCGAACACAAAGAGCAAATTTTCACGCCTATTAGAGCAAATTTCTGCGACGTTTGTTACAAAATGTCTTGCTATGAGTACAGTGAGGCTGCATGCCTCGGATGAGCGCAGTGAGTGCGTCGTTTGCCTGGGAGGCAGCGCTCATGGAGACAGACTGCTCTCATTGCGAGAGCATGAGTCTCACCTCGCTTCGCTCACGGATTGCTTTCTTACATGAAGGTGGTCCTGCCCCTCGCTGTCTCCCATTTCTCCCCTCCCAGGAGCCTCAGAGGAAGAAACAGCAGAGTCAGAGGGCTGTGCAGTCGGGCTGCTGATGGCTCCATGTCATTGACAGCCTCTGATGCGGAGGATTGGTCGTGCTCCGTGGAGGACACTGACTCCCTTCCGCCAAGAGAATCCAGTGGTGTACGGCCCAGTGTGGACATCAAGCTCATTCGCATCCTCACAAAGGCCTTTGAAGAGCTTGGCTTGGAGTGGTTGGCCCCAGAAGAGCCCGCCTGCAGCCGTACGGATAAATGGTTCTTGCCAGGGTGCTGACAGTGAGCCCCCCACCAGAGACCTGCGCCATTCTTCCCAAAAATTTCACAACAAACTTGCCAAGTCGTAGGATGCTCCTTACTCGGCCCGCATCCACTTTTCTGCTTCCACTGCCCTCACCTCCATTGATGGTGCTGAAGAAAAGGGCTATGAGAAGCTCCCTCCTCTTGAAGAGGCTGTCGCTCTAACTGGATGGATTTGCAGAACGCTTCATGGCAGCTCAGAAGTCATCACAAACTATGTGCCACTTCCTGCTCAAGCTCTCCAGCTTGCCGGATGTTTCAGGTCGCCAGAAGGCTCTGCCGACTCAACAGCCTGCAAAGCCAGCTTCGTCCCCCGCTCAAGCCTGTGTTATACTTTCCGCATGAGCAATCCAGATGCGTACACAGACAGCACGGACGCGGACTACTTGTATTTATACTACTGAAAGCATACGCTCCGCGAACGTGCTCCATACATGCGCAGTAGATCGGCTTGAACAGTAAACAAACGTAAACAAACAGTTGCCCACAGTTATTGCACATCTGGTTGTCTTTATCTTGTTTTATCGACGGATTGTACAGGTTCGAGTAGCAACGGGCTTATTCACACAGCCTGCGCATGCGCAGTTGGTGTTTTTGTAACCTACTGACCGCGCGGACATCCGCGTGCCTCCCATTTTTTGTGACCGCGCGGACAAGTACGAGCCTCCGCGCACACTCTCCGATGATGATTTTTACGTCACGCATACCATAGCGGACACTAGCGGACTCGCGCACGCGGAAAGTATAACACAGGCTTCAGCCTTGGTCCAAGCCAGAGCCTGAGCTCCGACAGCGCCCTCAGACTGCCAAGTGGTACCTCTTTCCCAAGCGCCAGGGCTCCCGCCCCAAAGTGACGTTGGACCCTGAGCAGCAGAAGCCGTCCTGATCTCTCAGTGAAGAAGAGGAGAAAGTTAAGTCCTGCCGAGGCCAGACCTCCCTCCAAGAAGTCTCATGCTTGCCTTACAACCCGCCGTTCAGCTCTGGGCGATGGAGGCTCTGTTTCCACTGCCAATACTTGGCCCGTCCCACTTACTTTGCACGTGCCCAAGCAAACTACAGCTGTGATAGCGGACCACATAACAAAAAAGAGCACTTCTCTTCACAATGAAACGAATGTCAGCCCCCTGCCCCGTGCAGCAATCTGCCATTCGAGAAACTCAGACCCCTTGCTGCTCGACTCCAGGCTTTGGAAGCTATCCCGGCTGTGTTAAACTGGTTTCTGCAAACTATAAAACAAGGTTACTCACTCCAATTCACTCACAGACCTCCTCGCTTTAGGAGTGTCATCCAAACTTCGGTCCAGGACAACGATGCTCACGTTCTCCAATCAGAAGTGTTTGTTGGAAAAAAGCACAGTGGAAACTGTCTCACCAGCAAACAGCGAGTCAGGTTTTACAGCTGCTATTTCCTCATTCCAAAGAAAGGCTCAGGCCCATCCTCGATATCAGACACCTGAACCGTGCTCTGATGAGGCGCCTATTTAGAATGTTGACTTTGAAAAAGATCCTCACGCGCGTTTGCCCAGGGGACTGGTTCATATTGGTAGATCTGAAAGATGTCTACTTTCATATCTAGATAACCCCTCACCACAGACCGTTTTTGAGATTCACGTTTAAGTTAGTGGCTAATCAGTATACAGTTCTTCCTTTTGGACTGTCTCAGGCACCACACACTTTTATGAAGTGCATGGTGCACTCTGCGAGGGCTGACTGGCATTCGGCTACTGGTTCAACCTGGATCAACGCCTGCATATCAACTCCCTGGAAATGATGCCGCTTTTTCTGGCCCTAAAAACCTTCCTACAGGTACTAAAGGAGCATCATGTCTGTTTGGACAACATGACGGTAGTAGCCAGGGTGGTCTCAGGTCATGGTCCCTCAACAAGATGGTGAGATGTCTCCTCTTATGTGCACAGTGGAATCTGCCAGTGCACGTGCCAGGCAAACTGAACCAAGGAGTGGGCATGTTGTCCCTTGGCAGTTTGTCTCAAGGGGAATGGAGACTCCACGCCCAAGGTTCAAATGATTTGGGATATCTTCGAGAGGGCAGAGGTCGACCTCTTTGCCTCGGAAGACAACTCTCATTGCCCAATATTTTTCTTGAAGGAGTGAGATGCACTGGCCCATGAATGGCCCAATGCTCGCCTGTATGCCTCTCCCCCGATTGCTCTGCTCCCTCAGGTCATCAGACGAGTCAGGGAGGTCAGGTGCTTTGTCCTCCTGGTGGCCCCAGTTGTGGTTCCTGAGTTGATACAGCTGCTGTCAGCAGCTTCTTGGCCAATCTCGCTAAGGAAGGACCTCCTCTCCCAAGCGAGAGGGACAATCTGGCATCCCCAGCCCAAGTTGTGGAGCCTTCATGTGTGGCCCCTCGACAGGAGTCTTTGCAGCTTCCCGTAAGGGAATTATGTATAATTAGCATACCATGGGTAACACTTTACAATAAGGTTCATTAGTTAATATTAGTAAACTTACTTTAGTTAACATGAACTAAGAATGAACAATACTTCTACAGCATTTATTAATCTTAGTTAATGTTAATTCCAACATTTACTAATGCATTATTAAAATCAAAAGTTGTGCTTGTTAACATTAGTGAATGCACTGTGAATTAACATGAACTAACAGTGAACAACTGTATTTTCATTAACATTACAAAAGATTAATATTGGTATTGGAACAACTGCATTTATCATTGTTAGTTAATATCAACGGTAACCAATTTTTTTATAAAATGTCATGTGTATGTATATATATAAACTTACAAATACAATATACTAATATATTTATTTATTTATTTATGCAGTTACCTGGTTGCTTTCCTTTCTCAGTCAGCCACCTGCAGGTCAGCTCATAGGGCAGGAAGTAAAGTCCAAAACAAGGCACGTCCCGCAGGGCAAGAGCCCACATTCCTCTGAAAAGCCCTTTCACCCCGTCCTCTCTTAAGATCACAGCAATACAATGTAAGGGGCCTCTGTACTTATTTCCACCTGAATTTGTCTGGTTCTGCAGACGCACTTTGACCAGGTCTATTGGAGCTGTAACAAACAACTGTGAGAGAGGACCAAATTAGCACAAATTAGTGACGCGTAATGTGTTGTTTTAGATTATTTTGGACTTTGCTGGCTTGATGCCCAGACTTGCCTGTGCTAAACCTGAAAAACATCCGGCCATGAACACAGCAGTGAGTGGTGACTGTTTGCCTTGGTCAGAGTTGTTGCGATGTGACTGAGTAAGGTAATCCAGCGCATTACTGTACGAACCAAAGACCACAGAGTTGCTAATGGCAACAGAGAGGACAGGAAATGACATGCCCTTAAAAAATCCACGGAACTGGGGAAAAAAGCAAAAAGAGGAAGATCTGTCATTCAAGTGATTAACTTTTTTGTAGAGGTAACTGATAAATTCTTGCTATCAAACATAAGCCTGAGACTTCATCCATACACATCCATTAGTCTTTTTTATATCTCTTATGCTCACCAAGGCTGCATTTATTTGATAAAAAAATACAGTAATATTGTGAAATATTATTACAATTTTAAATAACTGCTTTCTCAAATGTAATTTATCCCTGCATGGCAAAGCTGAATTTTCAGCAGCCTATAAAAATTGCATTTAAAAAAAAAAATTTTTTTTAGTACTGCCCTATGTTTCAAATTTATGCCATAAGGCACAAGTACACACAGGATTCTGTTCACAGTTTGCATTCCCCTGGTTCTTATTATGGTGTGTTGCTTCCTCAATTAAAATTTTCATTTTTTTTTGTGATAGTTGTTCACAAGTCTTTTTTTTCTTGAGTAGTGAAGCTGCCCTGTTCATCAGAAAAATCCAGGCCCTGCTGTTAATTCTTTGGTTTACCAGCATCTGCACATTGTAATCCATCTTTTGTCATACTTATCACAAAAGGTGCAAACATTCACTGATGCTCAAGAAGGAAACACACTGTATTTATAACGAAGGGGATGTAAACCTTTGAATAGAATGATTGGTGTATCTAGTGATAAATATGTAAAAATATTATGTAGCTTCACAAGGGCAGTACTAAATAAAAAGTAAGAGCTCATGTTTCTTGCAAGGCAAGTTTATTTATATAGCACATATAAATCACACCAATATTTTTGACTTGATTTTTAATTGTTTGACCCCTAGAGTCAAGATATGCATTCACCTCGAGAACTTCATCTTTGTTTCCAAATGCAATGACTTCAGTTTTCTCTTTTGGCACATCCAGCTGTTAATTTCATCAGTGCATTGGCAGAGGGAGTCAATGCGGCTGTAGTCGTTAAAATTGGGTGTCATCTGCAAAGCTATGATAGGCAATTTGGTTCTTTCTCATTATTTGACCCAGTGGGAGCATATACAGGCTAAACAAGAGCGGTGCAAGAATTGAGCCTTGTGGGACTTCACATGTCATGGATGTCCACTTAGACTTATGGATGGTCTCCTATACTCACATAATAACCCCTCCCTACTAAATATGAGCTGAACCATTTGAGGACCATCCCAGAAAGCCCGACCCAGTTTTCCAGTCTCTCTAGTAGTATGTTATGATCGACAGTGTCAAACGCAGCACTGAGATCTA